GGGGGGGGGGGGGGGGGGGGGGGGGGGGGGGGGGGGGGGGGGTGTATAAATCTTTGCTGTGGACTCTTCACAAGCAGAGCTCCATAAATGTGAACTTGTACCGAGCAGGAGACATTGTTTGAGGTAAGGTTCTGTTTCCATCGAAAGGAAAAGCCAAGGTTATTTCTTTAGAGGTGAGGCCTTTTTTATTTTTCTCACAGAGCTCTCAATAGGTAAGCAAACACCCTCTAATCGCATGTATATTAAACACTCTCCTGCATACCTTTAAGTTGAGTGTTACTGACATTCATTCCATTGAACGAAATTGTAAGTAAAAGTCCTTTATTCCAAAGTTTACTACAGTAAAAGTATAGTATTATCATCAAAGTATGATCATCAAAATATAGCATTAATATAGCATTAAACAACTATTTGCCATGTAAAGACGTAGTGGAGTGATGTCTACCGTAGCAGCTGCTAGGTGCGGCTAAGCCCTCGCCATGTTGAGAGCAGAGACAGTCCCTCATCAAATATGTGATCTGAATTTGGACTTTAGCCCATTTTAAGGGGAGACACCTCTGGCAAAAACAGTTTTTAATGCACTGGTCAATTTTGCGATTTTTGGCTAAATTCAGTTAATCCATAAATTCAGTTAATCCTACAAATGTAGGTGTTTAAGGTTACCACACACTGTCTATTTACATCTGGAGATTTCTCCTAATTTCACAAAGAGTTGACAAAAGATAATGCCTCCTTTGCATATTTACACACTTACAAAAAAGTGATTGTCTTGATGTAAATAATCAGCTGAAGGAGTTTCATGGTGATATCTTTTAGTCAAATGTTGTACCCTATTCACCTGTAGTGTCTTCAAAATGTATGTCATTTTACAATACACATCTTTAAAGGCACGTTATATTTCATTCTGAGCCAGCAGTCTCCACTTCAGTAGCTCTTACATACACCACATGTTCCTATCTATATTCTGAATGTTTTACTGAGGGGTTTGTTCATATATCATTCATAGTCTTATTCACAGAACATTTTATTCCTAAAAACATGCAGAAAATTAATTTATTTTTCTGTCTGTTAACAGTATTTTCTGATTAATGGATTCATACAAAGATATATCCCTTTATGAAAACCTTTGGCTTATGTGTCAACAAAACAAAACAAGACTTCTGAACCTGGCTTCATCCAATGTTCATTACTCAAAATGTATGTTATTGGATTGTTATTATTGATGGACCTGGTCAGTCTAAATTTGGATGATTTAAACTACTTTGGGTACATCACATAATATTTGTTGATGAGTTTTCTATCTAAAATCTGAACCTGAAAAGTAACTAAAGCTGTCTCATCACTGAAGTTCTCTGAAATGCGATGAAGTTGAAATAGCTTAAGATGGAAATAGTCCAAAGAATAGAATCCCTCATATGAAACGTGGCCCTATGATGAGGGTAGCAGGCAGATAATAGTTTGTGTTTAGGGTTATGGGCCTAAAAGGTTAGGAACCGCTGATAAAGATAACACAGCAGGGGCTTTGGAGGTATATGTATTGTATGTCACTTGTCCTTTTTTAAATGCATTACACTCGCTGCCTACAATCTGTGAGAATTTATATTTCTGGTGCAAATTGAAGGCTAACAGGCCTCTATGTGATACCACCAGCATCCTCCAAACCACATCCACGAGAGCACCAAAGACCATGGAGGGCCATGACACCATTAACTAAACGGGTTACGGGGTCAACCATCGCCCAATTTAGAGGTTCCCAAGCCTCAGACCAAGATGTGACGCCAAGGTGCTCCACGCACTTATCTGGGGAGTCCCTTTTCTGCAAGGGTAAGGCAAATGGCTGAGTCTTTGGTGGCATTCAACTTCTTGACCTTTGCGCCTTTAAGCGGCTTTGCTACTTCACCGCACTCTGATCAAAGTTAATAAGTGCTTCATATGTTAATGAAAATTGGTACTCCTCTTTGTGTTCCTACAGCTTTTTAATACCTATTATAGACTGAAACTTTTAATGGAGGTTTTAGGTCCCCCTGACAAGCCCATTTCAGAGAGTGACTACACAGATACAAGGCTAAGCTAAGACCAGAGAGTCACTGCTCAGTGGAGGAACCTTACACGGGAGACCTTATTCTCCGGGAAGCAGCAGAAGATAAAGGCCATGGGATGAGTGGCTGCTTTAAAACCCACGTTCAAGTCCGCGCAGGGCTAATTACCGCACGCCATCACATTTGAGAGGGTTTAGTTAATCAAGGGGGCTCTCTCTTTTTTTCCTCCTATAGTCGAGGAATAACACACTTAAAACCATTTAATGCCGCCAGGATTGCGTCCCGTTTAATTCACGGCGCTTTCACATAAGTGGGGTAAATTTAAGCCACCCCGACATTAGTTTTAAATAGATCTAATGAAGGGAGGGATCATGGGGAAAATGGCTACACCTGATGATTGCACACAACTTGCCACTGAGGAAAAAAAAGAAAAGAAATTTGGATAGTACATCGTTTAGGTCTTAGGAGGCAATGGGAGACTTAGCTTCTCTAAGCTTAGATAGCAAAGTAATAGAAAAGAATCTGACTAGTAAGGCTTGTGTATGACAAGGAACAGATTACCAGTCCCTTCAAAAAAAGTAGTATTTGACATTTGGGATTGCTATTTAGTGTTGACTTTGTTCATAAACATGGAAGGGAGATTTGAGGCCCAGTTCCTGACACGGTTTTAACCAAAACAATGGAAATATTAAACGGCTCTGACAAGGTGCTTTGAAGATTTTCACAAGTTGTACTTTTTCCCCCCTTTTCTAGCTGTAGCCACCAGTGTGTACTCCAACATCTATTTCATAGCTACTGGGTTATTACAAGACCATACGTTCCACTTTGAAGTTTGGGTAAGGACACATTACGACGGAGACAAAGGGTAGAGCCAACGAAGCATCGCCGGTAATTGCAATTTCCGAACAATTGCGCCGTTCAACTTTTCCCGGAGAACAAAAGGAAAGCGTTATTGATACGATTACCGGGGCATAGCCTACCTTGAAACATGAAAGATTTGTTTTTCTCCAATAATGTAATCCCACGAGGCACATCAGTTTAGAAGTGTGAAGAAATAATTCTAAACAATTTCCCCTTTGAAAGGAGAAAGAGGAGGCAGGCGTTCAAAGCATCGGCCCTTCATTAAAAAGTCAAATTTATGGCATTCGTGCGCCAGTAAGAGTGGGGGGGGGGGGGGGGGCGCTTCGGGTATGGGAAGCCCGGGGGCCTGGAAGAGGTGGGGGGGGGGGGGTCAGGGGGGGGAGGGGGAAGGGAGGCGGGACAAGTCTGTCATCTTCACACTGTAACCTGGAGCAGACCACAAATTAGCTCCTGTGATGGCAAGGTGTGACCGAAAATGAAACAAACACACAAAGAAGCAGTCTAATTGAATCGGAGTTCAAAGGGGGCTCGGGCGCACTTGGCGCCGCCGTGGCGCTTTCATAGTGCTGGACCTCCGAGCGGCAGCAGGTGCTGCTGAGGCGCTCACAGAGCCTCAGCGCCGGCACAAAAAAGGGAAGCGCCGGTGCATTGGGCGCCGCCGTAACGCACGCCTTTCGCAAACGCACCGCCACAGAGGGAGCGCCAGCGTCGGTGCCCATGCCATCTCCCTCTCCCAGATCAAACCACTGCTCTTGGGTTGTTTTCTGGGATCAAATATCAGAATGGATGGCTTCAACTCATCGGCAGCGATGCGGGAGAAAGCGTCGCCACAAGTCCTGCCAGGTCTGATTTGAACATGTTGAGGAATTTTTATTAGAAGCCATTAGCAGGAGTTTAACTTAGTTTTGATGCTCGGCAGACAACATATTGTCGCACAGGTAAAAAAAACACACACACACACACACACACACACACACACCTTTGCTGCAGAAGTACTCCATGTCTTCACAGCTCATGTTCTCTGCCTCAAACTCGGCAGAGAAGTTCTCCTCCGCCGAGAACTCGTCTTTGGCCAAGAGCTCGTTCTCCTCGGAGACGCACTCCTCCTCCTCTTCCTCCAGGCCATCCTCCAGAGGACCTGAGGGAACACACAAACACACACACATAAATACACACACACACACACACACCCACACACACAAACACACAAGGAAGATGTTCAGCAGTTTCATCACATCCTTCAGGCTCTCTCTCTAAAAAAAAACCTCCTTCTACTTGGTTCTTTTGTTGAGATACCGCAAATGTAGATGCAACTCAAAGAGCAGCACAGCACAGCACTGCACGGTCTATACGCTCCATGTTCAGACACACAGCATAGACAAAGATAAGGCCGTGTCAATAAAGAATATTACTTTGCCATAATATTCCACAAAGGTCCTTCCATTATAGCTATTGAAAAAGCCCTTCGAGACTGAAAAAAAACCCCGCTGACTTGCAGCCAAGGTGAGCGCTGATGTTAATCCGCTACACCTGCAAAACAAAACCTCACACAGACGGAGGGAGGGCAGGAAAAAAAAGAAAAAGAAGAAAAGTTCCTTTTCCAGACTTTTCATCCAGGCATCAGCCAGGGAGGAGGGAAGAAAATACTTTTATTAATTTGTTAGCCTTATCACAGGGTACAATGTTGATTTTCCATTTACATTCCGTGCCTCCGGGTAATACACCAGTGCAATCTTAAAGGAGACACTTTTCCATGTGATTAATGTTTTCCCCCCTCTGTGCAATATTATTTCTTTAAATCTAAATGATTCCGGAGTTTCGCTCGTAGCTGTACATCTCTTTTCTCAATTTGCATATTACCATTTTTTTGCTTCAATCAAGGGCGCTGATGGAATTACCGTACTGCTACCTGGGATTGTATTAGTTCTGAGAAACATCTCATCCGGCATTTGAATGTTATTAAGATAATGTGCATCCACCACACCTCTCCTTCCCCCACCACAACACGCCTGCACGTGAATTACCACGGCGAAGGAGTTGAAGGTTAGTTTATGTTATGAAATAATACGTGAAAACCTTTCTTAAAAAAAATCAAAAGTGCTGCCAGATGTGGACGCTGTCTTGCCTGTCACACGTGCGCTTTGCTTGCAGCCTCTCGTGCATCACCCCGGAGCTCAAACAGAGCGCGCCGATATCCTCTCGACACCTTCCAACATGTTTGTTCTATTGTAGCGCGAGCGAGGCCCCCTCAGCTCGAATAAAGTATCATTTCAGTTCAGAAAGCGGGGCCTCTCCTGTTTCTCTTTCTTCCCCCGCACCGAGCCTCATAAAAGACCCCCCCAATGTCCGCAAAAGCGCTTGCTCTTTTCATTAGTCTTATAAATTACCCCTTTGTAGAAAGCACCACATCTGCAGGAAGCCCCGGACATGAAAAGAATTAGCGCACAGATCTCCTAATAGACACTGTGGAGGCAGAGAAGGAGTGGCGCTTTTCAAATTAGGATACAGTTTTATGATCTTATCCGGCGCCTTCTGCTGATTTTGCCGAGGAGCGAAGCGAGGCGTGAAGTGACTCCATGAGGCGACCATCGCTCAAGATGATGCCGGGAGATAAATATCGCTGCATCAAGGGGAGATTGTATGACTGGCGTTAAAAAAAAAAAAAAAAAAAAAAAAAGCAGCTCCTGCCAAGGCAATTGAGGACAGTGCGAGGAGAAACGCGTTTCTATACACACGCACACACACACACACACACTCTGTACACATTCCATTACACAGCTGAATAAGAACTGTGTGTACAACTAAACGATTCTTCCTCTGTTGCCGGCAAATACAGCAGCACCATTGCACCGCAGAAAATAGACCTACAGTGTCGTGCGATAATAAGGGTAAAGGGAGATTAAAGATAAACTTCATGGTCAATAAGACACAAAGATTAGGGAGATAAGATGAGATAGAATTGAGGTTTAATAGACTCGGAATAAGGGCATCTCACTTCCCCACTCTAGCAGATAGTAACTAAATGGAGCTTTTTCAAAGCGATAGAGACACCGGAGGCCTTGCTGAATATGGAAAAATGAAACACTCCAACCCAGTCTGAGACATTAAGGGGGGGGGGGGCTGAAAGCTACTTCCCGGGCTCGGCGTAGATTAACAAAGTTTGTGAGCATTCTCACATGTTTAGTTTATTATACAGTATTCCGTGCATGGAGAGACCTGAAATTATTTCAGAGACAGCAATGATAACAATAATGACTTTCTAAACGACCAGCACCACACTCCTAACTCATTTTCTGATAGTGGCGCCCCCCCCCCCCCCCCGCTATATTTAGTTGTGTACTGTTTAAAATCCTGTCACATTCGCCCGTGTGACCCGCGCCTCTCGGTGCATTTCTATAGGGTCCGCTGACGAACTGGGCCCCGATGGAATGTGTGCGGCCTCACCCTCTTATCAGGCCCTCACTCTGGAGTTCAGATGGCCAATGACACCGCAGGGAGAGCGTCGGCGTTTCCACGCCGCCCCGGAAAACAACACAGTCCGCCTTAAAATTTTTGCGCTCATTAAAACAGACTCAGAGTTCTGTTTAAAGCAGGGAGCTTTACATGAGAGGTGATTTTGGATTCAAACAGTGTTTTGGAAACTTACTTGGGAACCTCTTGGTAGTCTTGTCACTCATTGAGTCTGTCTTGTCCGTGTGATATAATCTATACAAACCCTGCTTTGCACCATGTGGGCGTCTTCAACTGTTCCACTGTTTACAAAAGAAAAGCCAAGTCGCCATTGATGGCAGCTGTTTTCAAGTTTGAAATATGAATCCAAGCTTTCAAAACATCATCAAACATACATCAGTTACATTTCTGAAAACCTCCTCTGAACAAAACTATTTTGATAATTGATTGATCAAGAAATTGTCCTTGAGGCAGCAGAAATGGCAGCGTCTCAAATGTCATTATTTTCTGGACATTTGGAGAAGATGTCTCCTTGCACATCCCTGAACAAGCGGTTCCCAACTTGGAACCCCAAGAGATCCTAAATATCTGAGGCTAGGGACGAACCAATGCAACTTCATCAGTCTTAATACCGATACTGATAACTGGGGTTCGGACATCGTCCGATACCGAGTACCGATCCGATACCAGTGTTTAACTATCAAGCTGTATGCCTCACTGTGTGGAAGTGACTGGGATTATTGTTTAATGTGTAAAGCAACATCATAACTTTCATTACTTTGTCGAACAAAATGTCACAAATAAATACATAGATATAAATGTACTGAATTATGTATTATTATAATAAACCCTACAGAGGCAACTTGGTAAAAAATTAACAGGAATTGCAATTTAAGTGTAAACCTCTTTTAATGCAGCAACAAGTTCCAGTATACAATTATAAAAACATATAATTAAGTTGAATAAATCGACTCCATTCTCACGGACACCCGATCCAGCTGTTTGAGTCAGTATCGGCCTGATATTAGCATTAGTGCCTCTGTATCCAAGGCGGTCCCATGATGAGGCTAAAATGCTAATTAATTCTAAATACATATAAATGTTTCTGTTACATAAACAGTATGTTTCAAATATAACTTCCTGTGGTGTTTTTTCCTCCTCAAATTCTAAATCCTAGAACATACTCAGATGTCCGTAGCCTGACGAGTGTCACAAGTGGACATGTGTTCGAAACCACTCGACTAAACAATCAATCAACCTGGAAAATAATCATCGGATAAATAAAGAAAATAATCATCGGATAAATAAAGAAAATAATCATCAGTCGCTGTCCCACAATGCTCATCCTCTCCCTGAAGTCCAGGTCGGACCACCAAGTGCTAATACACAAGCTTGACTTTGTAGAGAAAAGGGCTCGGTTTGCTAGCCCTCCGCCCTGAGCGGTATCATCCGCGTTCATCGGGCTCTTCCTCCGCCGACCAGAGAGGAGAAATCTCAGCTCCCTGTTCAAACAGTCATGCAGCCAGGAGCAGCCAATGCTAATAGAGACATTGGTGGCTGAATGCAAGGCCTGATCACAGTGGCTCTTTTGTTCGTGGCGTGGCCTCTGTCTGATAGGGATCAGCCATGCGGAGTGGAGCTCCAGAGAGGGATATGGTAATGCCCCCGCTGAGTCTATAAAATGGGGTGATACGCTGAGACCATATGATGGACAGAGGATTAATGAGTCACAGAGGGAGAGAGGACGAGGACAGAGGTGGTGGAATGAGCATATCTTACGGGACAAAACTAAAAACCCCCACAGATATGCCAAACTTGCCTCCGAAACTCACAAAATAAGACAAATATGTGTGTGCAAAAGTGCACGAGCGTCTGCTTATTTCATGGCCACGCTTTTATTTTTTATTTTTTTTCAATGTGTGGAGCTTGTGGCCGGGCTGTGATAGCGATACCTCGCATTATCAGCGGGCTCCACAGTGCGATGCGTGGATCACAAACCCAGCCTCCTCTATAGCTCCCTAATTAGAGGTGAGGTAATTGAATCTGACAGAACAAAGCGGCAGATCTCTATAAGCATGGAAATCTTTTTTTGCTCCCACCTATACAGTTTTGCATCCAAAAGGTCCATTGAAAATGTGTCCAAGCTGGCCTGGGGGATAAAACGCAGCACCTGAGACTAAACATGAATGCATAATGCAGCCCGAAAAAAAAGAAAGAAAAAAAAAATCCAACAGGGCCACACAGCTCAACCCTCTGCCAACTGCGCTCCCTGTGACTGGTCCTTTTGTGCCAACACTGATACTGGGGCCTTCCTCGCTTACAGGGCGAACACACACACACACAAACACACACACACACACACACACACACCGCAGGACCCTTCAAACTTCTGCAGGGAGGAAGTGTAGACTTTGTCTCAAGTTGCAAGTAGCTGTGCGTGGCGAGGGCCAGGTACAGGCTTAGATTGCACATTCATGCTGCGTGTTTACCTCCACAGCTGGAGAAAAAACACATGTGTGGAAATAGAATAAAACAAACATTTTTCTCTCATCTTGCACGAAGGATTGGAAAGGCTGAGAGAGAGAGAGAGAGGGGGGGGGGGGGGGGAGGAAGGGGAGAGAGGCGAGGAGAGACTGGGGGCCATCCTCTCTCCTCAGCTCTAATGACCTTTGGGAAGCAGAGGGCTCCCTCAGCCTTGGAGGAGTCTTAGTGTATATGTTACAGGGCTCAAGCCTCTAATTTAATCCTTGATCACTGTAATGAAATAGATACCATTTGTGCAACACTTAATAGCTTAATATGCTACAGGAACCCTCAAAGGAATTTCCCATTTCTAACATCTTTTTTTTTTTTTTTTCACACTGCGTAAATGTTTTTCCAAGTTGTACGCTGTGATCAAACTAAATGTGGAGCTAAAGCCGTCGCACGATTCAAAAGTAAATTACCGTTTGTATTTTGTCTGTGAATGTGCGTGTGTGTGCGTGTGTGCACGCTGGGAGGAGTGCGGCGCAGCTTCAGTGGAGACTGATGTGTTCTCAGAGCCCGCAGCCTGTGACCAAGAATAAGCGATGGCATTGTTTAACTTGATTTTCCGGTTGCTAAGCAATGTAATTCTCCTGATTAGAAATGGCTGCCTTCCTAAATTCGGGCACTTACAATCAACAGTCAACAAAACGGCTTGAAAACTCAGCACCGAACGCTCTTCTGGAAATTTGCGGTTGAAAAGGGAGGGTGTGTGTGTGTGTGTGTGTAAATGTGTTCACATCCTTGTAAGACACACACGCGTTTGAACGTACACACTGTTCTGTGAGGCTGCAGCACCCGCAGAGATGACAAGGCGTCTAAAAGCGATCCAATGACGTCATGCGTCTAGATGGCCTACTAAAGTTTACATTACGCTTTCATGCAGTCAGACGGAGACACACCCATCGGCTGAGGAAAAGAAAAAGACAATATCACTGTCTGCGTGTTGCCCAGATGCAGAATAATATCAGTCCTCTGAAACAAGGACTATTTCTGTCCGCATCTCACCAAAAACACAATCGTGGTCGCGCATCTTAGTCCAATCAGACGCGACGTTGGATCCCAGCGTGTTCTGCGGAGTCGCTGGAAGTCCTGTGTTGTCGCGCCCGGCGTCTCTGTCTGGACCGTTGAAGGGGAATAACGCGCTCTCACTTCTTTATCCAACGAGTTGGAATTGGAACGGCATGAAAACATGCTGGCATTTGACTATGCCATTAAAATGCTGGAGGCACCTCTGAGCGTGCCCGAGGGCCTCAGCAGATGCCAGCCAGTTTCTCTGTGGAGTTCGCCGGGTTTCCCGCCTCACTCCGCCGCCTCCACTCGCCATCTCTGGAGCCTTTTGCAGAGACGCGCGTCCAAGTGGACGCTTGGTGCAACGTTCGGCCCATAAAAGTCACAAAGCCCGATCTCTTGCAGGACAACGCTCGGGCAGATTTAAAAAATGCTTGTTAAAATGGCCGCTCCGCTGCGTTCAAGCGTCCTCCGCCCCTTCCTGTAACATCTCCTCCGGCTGAGTGATTTATTAGTGTCATTCTGCTACTTATAAGGAAATAAAAGTTAACCATGTGCCTGTACACCGGACGTGACAGCTGAAACAAAGCGGGTAAAATATGTGCGGCCTTAATTACGGGTTTATAAGCAAGCTTTTTCCACCAGAACGTTCACTTTTAATGAAGCCATTGAGTGAGGCTCCTCCAGGGAGCTATCATGGTTAAGTGGGGGCATCCATCTTCAGCCATTGGCTCGTCTGCAAGACGAGCGGAGGCTCCGTCTGCGGCGCGCTCACCTCATATTGGCTCACTTTATCTCCACTAAGTAAAGTCTTGTTGGACGGCGCTAAAAGTGGCCGAGGAAACTACTTTTCTTCCAGGGAGCCATGACGAGGATGACAGACCCTTTGCAGTGTCTTAAGATGTTTAACCTGACACACACACAAAAAAAAGGCATCATACTCCTAACAATCAGTGGTCGGCGAGTTGCTGAAATAGCAACGTTGTGAACGCTGCTTCTGCAACAATTAGCTTTTAGTCGAGCGGCATTTCAAAGAATTTAATTGGGAGCCTTCAGAAAAAGAAAAAAAAAACTGATTACTGTATCAAATAATGTAGATAAAACAATATTTTCCCATCAAGGAATTTCTATGAAATGGATATATCTAAGATGTCAATTTCATTCCAGTATTATGAAGGATGTGTGTGTGTGTGTGTGTGGGGGGGGGGGGTTCCTTTTGCAATAAATTCTTCATTAATTCAATTCTAATTTTCCTCTTGTTCCTATTTCTACTATTGATAGTTCCACTTCTTAATACCTCGGATAAGGGGGGGGGGACTCAGTGGAGACTGCGGGCGGCAGATAGGATCTAAATATTACCAATGCCAAAAGAAGTGTGAAGTCTGATGAACATTTCAAAAGAACAATTCTTTATGGATCAGCTCAATCTTTTCCACTTTTTAATTAAAAGTAAAGAAAATAGAAGTTAATTATCCTGTAAAGATTAGCTGGTGGGCATCTTTCTGTAAATTAGTTCTAATTAAAAGGAAATTGTCAAATGACATTCAAAGCACTGTCCTTTAAAACACACAGACCGAGATGGGCTCCCCCCCCCCCGCCCCTCAGCTCCCTCCTAATTCTTGATCTGTCCATGTGAAGCTTCTTGCAGGAAGATTAGGATTCTGCCAGTGCTTCAGACAGCACACACACACACACACACACACACACACACACTCTCTCCCAGCTCCCTGGGTAGCAGGCCTCTAGCACACTGTGAAATACTGCTGCATCAATGGGGAGCTAGTGGCTGCTGGAGATAAATACTCGTCATTGATAAATGATTGCACTGATTAGCTGCTTGGAATCAGGCTGTTACATCGGGTTCATGTTGTTTTTTTTGTTGTTTTTATGAAATATCTGATATAGGTCATGTGCTCCAGTCCAGTGTAAAATACTCTCGAAAACCTGCAGTTTTATTTCTTCATCTCCCAGAACCCGAGATGACAAATTGAAATGACAAATTTCCTGTTTTGTGTGACTCTAACTACAAGACATTCATTTTCCTTTTAATGCGAGACGAGTAAAGTTGGCAAATCCTCACATTTGAGAAGCTGCAACCAAAGAACGTTTGAAGTTGTTTTGCTTGAGAAAACGCTTAATATGTCAAACCAGTTACATTCATTTCCTGTCGATCAATCGATCCACTAATCGTTTAACCTCCTCAACATCCTCATCAGCCTCCATTACGAGGCAACGCCTTCAGCGTGCACGACACTTTTCCTGCTACCAAAAACAAAAGAATCACAACAAGCACGACGCATGAACACACACACACACACACACACACACACACACACACACACACACACACACACACACACAGAGCATTTTACCAAACCTCCTCTCTCATCACTTCACAAATAAATGATGAATCAGACTGCCTCTTCTCTGTGTGCGTACTGTATGGCTTTCATCTGATTTCGTGCAGATTTCATCAGCCGTCGTCTAGCGAGGCTGTTGTTCGGGTTGTGTCGAACCAGATTCCAGCAGTTGTGGTCGAGAGAGAGAGAGAGAGAGAGAGAGAGAGAGAGAGAGAGAGAGAGAGAGAGAGAGAGAGAGAGAGAGGGAGGAAAACAGTGCTGAAGCCCCTCCATCTGCTCTGGCTAATGATGATGCTCTCCCTGGCCTGGAGCAGAACTGCGCGAGGGAGATTTAAACCCATAATACCCCTGGGGAGGGAGGGGGTGATGCTTGCACCTCTCTCCCAAAACACCGTCACTCCATCACTTCCTATATGATGGCTGGCAGAGCAGGTGACAATGGACCGGCGACAATGTGTTTTTGTGTCGCTGACAAGTGCCTTATTTGGTTGACATAACCTGCCTCGGTGTCTGAGGAGTGGCTGCGAAGCACACAGGGGAGAAAATGGATGACACCATCGAGACATTGTGCAGTTGTAACAATCATACCAGGCTATGTTTAAAAAAAACAACAACCACCCAGCAGTGTGTGTGTGTGTGTGTGTGTGTGTGTGTGTGTGTGTGCTAGGAGGCGAGCGAGAACACAGCGGTGACTGAGGAGGGAGAGGTGGCTGTCTTTGCGATACACTAATTGGAATGATGGCAGGAGGGGGAATCGAGCATCGCAGTGAGCCAAACTCAACAGAGCTTCCTTTTTTTCTCCATTTACACAATTATAAAGGTTTATAAGTTGTAATCGCCCTTCAAATTTGGGAGCTTTAGACCCGCTTTACAGCTCTGTGTGGGACCGGCCCTGACATCCATCTCCTTAAAACAAGCGAGTTAAATGGTGGGAGGCAGAAAGAAAGACTTTGTGTGCGTGAGAGAGAGAGAGAGAGAGAGGGAGAGTCGTGCAGGGGGAGATGTGGAGAGCTCCACTCCTCAGGGATTGAGTGTTCACACACACGCAGTAAATGGAAGTGGCACAGCTCTGACCTTTGTTGAGCCGCGGTGGACGGGTAAAGGCGGTGGCGCTGTCAAAATATTGCCTCAGAAATGACAATCCACCTCGCCAGTCCCCGAGTCCCGACACGGCCGGCAAGTGGCGAGCCGTGACCCCGCTGATCCCGGTGCTACAAATGAGGGGGGGGGTCACACACGGCATATACCCTAAACAGCGACGTCCCACACAGATAAAAAATAAATAGCGAGGAGAAGCGTCACTTCCGGTTTCTAAACCGCAGATACTCAAGTCCTCGGAGAATAACTCAATCATAAAAGAATACGCCCCCACCCCCTATAAAAAAAAAAATCACAAGCAAATTACAAGTGCTCTGAGAGGAAGAAGCTTGGGAGGAACAAAGACAGGCAGCCATAATTATATCTTGGCGTGTATAGCATGTCAATGGCCCACCTTTCGTTCTGGAGGGCATTCCCCCGGGCCCCTCAGGCATCAAAATGATGTCCAAATTATTTTGTGCTCTATTGCAGCATGGCACGATTATCATATTTACCGGCGATGCATTATGACAACACTGATGTTTACACCTGTCTCCGCGAGGAGGCAAGGTTTACACTCCGTAATTTAGCAAATGTACAG